GTAGTAGTAGTAGTAGTAGTAGTAGTAGTAGTAGTAGTAGTAGTAGTAGTAGTAGTAGTAGTAGTAGTAGTAGTAGTAGTAGTAGTAGTGAAAGCTGTGGGTATAAAGGCGGGATAGGAAGGAGAGGATTGTGTGGAATTAATTTTTTTTTGCATACCAGAATCAGTGTCCCAGTCCTCCTCGTCAATGGGACCCTCCTGCTCGCGCACAAACTCCTCGTCGGTGACTTCGGTGAGCTGGACCATGATTGCGGGTTGGAGCGGGCGTGGGAAGCCGGTTTTTTCTATTCAGTGAGAGAGAGAGAGAGAGATCGAGATCGAGATTGAGAAGAAGGGCGGATGGAGAGGTATCTGGAGATGAGATGTGACGATTGGAGATTGAGTCGATGGATAGGGAGGAAGAGGTGGTGGTGGTGGTGGGTGTGGGTGTTTGGGCGCTCGAGCTTTGTGGGCGCCTGTGATGATGCTTGCGATGATGAACTTTTGATGCATGGGCCACATGCCGCTTGCTGACGCTAGAAGGGCGCGGCGGGGGCGTTTTCTCTGCCGAACGAACGCCTTGGTTCAAGGCACTACTTGCGAATGACGACGTTTTCCCGCGGCACCTGCACATCATCAATCTAGACGCTTTTTGTATGCGCATGTTGATGCACCGCTAGAGCACATGTACCTGCATGTATGTGGCATTGGCAAACGACAGTGCGGCTCTGTGGCTGCTGGGGCTGGAGCTTGATTTCGTATACGCGATACAAGATCGACGTCACCGCTATCAAAGATGGATTCGCGTGAGCCATGCACCAGTGCGTAATGTAATGCTGATATTGAAATTCCGCTTTTTCAGACTTACAAGCGTGCCGTGTTGAATAGCATCAAAGATTTGTATGGTCTACAGGCACTATGCTCAGCAGCTGGAACACTACATGTCGTGCATGCTAGAGACAGACTCGTATACGAAGACTACACAGGCAGTATTCATGAAAGTAACAGAATCTATATTTTTCAAACGCTTTTAGCTGCCCGCATATCTATATACGCAATGCACGTGTCCTGTACTTTTCAACCTCTCCCGTAAGTTGCAAAGCATAATTTGCTTGTTTTCAGCGCCTTTTGCCCAACATCTCCTTGCCCAATCCATCTCTGCCCTCGTTCTTTGTAATCTGCTCCGTGGCCTTGATAAGGTCGTATGTAATTTCGTCGTTTACTACGCTGTCTTTCTGGTATGCTGGGTGGGACTGGACAAAATGCCTGATCCACTTGGCTGCCGTCCAGTATGTGCCGTTGGCGCGTTTGCGGATCAAATCAAGATAGGTGGCAAGATCACAGCGAGTCTCGACATCAACGTTCATGCTGTTGAGGTATGACTCTACAAGAGGGATGAGGCCAGGGAAACCGGCGTCGCCCGACGAGGTTTGCTGTCCGTTGATGACTTCATTGATCGTCATTTGCTCGTACTCGTCCTCCACCGGCCCAGTGGGAGTTGCTGGTCGGCTTGCATCAGCGGGTGTCGAAGTTCCAGTGCCGCTGCTGGGCTTGTGCGCTGGAAAAGGGTCTTTGCGGAACCAGAACTTTTGCGTCGACACCGCGTCACGAATGTGTGCTGTCTCCATGTTCTCCGACACTAGTGTGATGGGGATGTAGAAGTTGAGGTTGAATGACAGGATTGCACGGGTGAGCAACACGATGAAGATGGAGAAGGCCGCGTTCTCAAAGTCCGTGATCTGGATTTCCATAGGTCGGAACTCAACGCGCCAGCCCATGTCGGAGCCAGCTGGCGGAGGTTTGAAGCGCATGTGCTGCCAATTGGTTGATTGCAAGTTCTCAAAGTGGTCGGCTTTGGTAAGATCGAGTTCCTGGAGATCTTCGGCAAAGACAACAATCGGGTCGCGGATGAAGAGATGTGCAAAGTGGGTTGCCAGCAAATCATCCATACCGCCGTCGACCAGCCGCTTCTTGAGATCGGGGTCTATGATGAGGTCTGGGTCGAGATACTCTGGCCGCAGGCGTGGGTCCTGGGCAATGTAGGTCGAGTTGGATGCATAGCGAGACTTGGGAAGTCGCCATCTATCGTTCTTGAGAGGCTGCTGCAAGTTAGAGACGTGTCCGAATCATTCAAAACAATGTGCCTGCCTTTTCTCCCAGTTCTTCTGGGGTCCGGTCATCAACCGCCCTGCTGATCTGGTTCCAGCGCACGTCGGTGTCGGCCAGGAAGCCCTTGTAGATTGGTGTTCCTGCCGTCAATGCCAGCAGAATGGGGGCTATCGGGCTGAGTTGGTCGTACATGGTCCTTCCCTCTTCAATGTTTTTTGCCTGGAAGGTGATTTGCAAGCAGCAGCTGCCCATGCCAAAGGCCATGGCATCCATGTGGATGTAGTTGTCCTGGGCAGCGCCATTGCGGACATCGTCGTCCTCGGGCCAGTTGTGCAAATCATAGTTGACAGTGGGATCCTTCCAAGGCCACGACGTCTTCTCGTCTCGAAACACGGGCACGTTGACTTGCACCTTTCTGCCTCTTCGCCAGCGGATGTTGGCAGCCAGCGTTGGGAAGCGGATATGGGGATTGGCAATTTCGTCCGGAACAAACTGGGAGCGTAGCTTGGGGCCTGAAACAGGATAAGACGGTACGATACAGTCAGCTGATCCAAGACGAGGGAATGTCGTCAATGTAACCGGAAATTCCGTCTGTGCCATGTGATCCTTGGCTATGGCTCGTCTGTGGGAAGTGTGAGCACGCGCCTAGTCGTCGACGGAACAGGGTCATGTACCTCCACTTCATATTGGGCTCCACGTCGAGTAGATCCTTGAAGCCAATTCCCCACGGTTTTCCAGGAGTTGCTTCCAGCATGAACCTTCCAAATTCCGGATGAAACACGGGTGCGGGATTGTCTTTTGCACTGGCCTGGTCAGTACCGATATGTCAGGCCCAAGGAGTTTGGACTCACTCGGCATTTCCAGTCTGCAGGTCCGGCACGCCGCCGCCTTGCTGCAGAAGCTTCTCGTCGTTGGCCAAGGCAGCTAGAATGTCGGCCTGGCGCAGCGACAGGCGGACCTTGTGGTGATGTTCATCGTAGCAAACCACCAGGTACTCAATCTGCAGGCGAATCAGTTGGGGGTGGGAGCGCGGCGAGGGGCAGGGCGGGCGGTGGTCACCTCGTCTCCCCAGAGGAGGGCATCCCTTTCCTTGCCCTTGGCATTGCGCCAGATGGCAAGTAGTTGCTGTCCATGACATTACTACGTGTGTCGTGTGGGCGTGTGTGGGCGGAGCATACTTCGATTCCCCACGACCTGACCTGGTGGGCAGCCTTCTTGGCATCCGGCCAGTCGAGCGGCGTTCCAAGGGCCCTGGAGATGGCATTAGCGAGGGCGGGCGAGTCGTGTGGCACGGATCTCACAGCAGACCCATGGCCGAGATTGTGAATGGGTGGGTGGCTTGTGGCTCTTGAACGGCGATTGCGGGGAGGTGGTTGGGGGAGCACTGCAGGAATTGGGGCCTTGTGGCGGGGGGAGGTTGGCGGCACTCAGGGCTGCAGCAGTTTCGGGCCAGCTGCAGACGCCTCGGTTTCCTGCGTTATCGACTCGGCGAGCTGGCGACGGCGGGCGGCGGAGAGGAGAGAGAATCTTTCTCTCCAGTCCACAGGCCTCTGGTAAAGTATGCGCCTCAGGCGCAGTGCAGGACTAGACGCGCGCGCAGGGCCTTGCGGATTATTAATGCATCATGCAGCCCGGCCAGGCCTATGCCATCACTATGCCTCTTCCGAAGCGAGCACCAGACTTGCCTCTTTGGTCCGCCTCGCACAACATCACCAACCTCACCACCACCACCACCACCACCACCACCACCACCACCGTGTGGCACATTGCTGCTGTGCTCGCATTTCCACCCTGTCCTGCGCAACACTGCCGCCCGCCTGCCAACAGCGGCCATGGGGCCCGGCAGCACCGAAATGCACCTCGCCTACCATTGTCTTGCGCCCCACGTGCATGCTGGTCGGTCGCTGACGTCCCTAGGCGTAGGGTTGACGAGAGCCTTCTTCGATAACATGGCTGCCGCGGATTCCCGTGGCCACGACATGACACCTGCAAGCGGCACAGCCATCCCTGATTGTCAACGGGCTTGGGAGCTCCCCATGTTCATCCACCATCCAGCCATGACTTCGCTCTCACTCTCTGCGCCCGTCATGGATGTGATGCCATGCGACAAGACCTGTTGCACCCTTCCCCCCGGCACTCAACGCACAACCCATGTCACGCCTTGTATGTCTTGCAAACAAAAAGACCACCGGCTCAGGTGATAGCTAGGTATTTATTGGCTTTTTTTTTTACGTAGAGTGGACCTAGAAGCCCGTGGTATCTCTTTGCGAACACTGGTCAAAACTGCTCAGAGGCATCATGCACTTCTAGCAAAGTGCGCGTCGTGCAAAATGCATACAAAAACAATCTTGTCGCCCCATGGTAAGCGCTTGTCGGCGCACCAGAACTCCCGTCCAATGATCGACCCATCCTGAAAGATGGCCATGTTCAGTAAAAAAAAAAGAACGCCGTCATCCAGTACATGTCCCTCCAAGCCCCCTATCCGTGTGCCAAAATGCAACTGCTGGTATTAAAAGACAAAACAAGAAGTAGACCGTAATAGATGAGCCCCAACAAACGGACCCACCGGGCAAGTTTCGAGTGCAACGATGCTTCGTCTCAACACGGCTACGGCTCCTCGAGCCTCGTGGCCCGTTGCTGCACCCGAGTAGGCAATCGCCAAGAACGTCTCTGCGCTCAAGTCTGCCAGGAAAATCCTTCCAAAGACGCCGCAGAACCATGGAATGATACAGACGTCCCATCTCTGACAAGATAGGCTGACCAACATGGAAACCCCCTCTTGTAAATGCAAGATAAAATTTTGTGCCCCTGGGCCAATGCCCCTGCATGTTGCAAACATGTGCTACAATCTTGCAATCGTGAGCATGCGCCAATCCGAATAAAAATGCTAGTTGGTGATAGAAGTTGCTAAAGGTAGAACCGTAAGCGCCGTGCTCCGTGTTTTCCGAACAAGTCGGTCCCCGGGCTGCATTGCTACAGCGTTGCTGGCGAGTCATCAAATCGTCGGTGAGCCGTGCTCCATGGGCTTGGGTCGTAGATTTGAGCTGGTCATGGCTTGCTTGCCACCCATTTTGCGCGTCAGCTTGGCATAATCTAGGGGTAGTGTTAGCTAATGGGCCGTAGCTATCCTGTCGCATCAAACTTACGCAGGCCGCAAGCATTGCACAAGGTCCGCGCACCGTCGGGCCCTCTTCGCCACTCGGGCGTCTCGGCACGGTTGCAGCTATGGCATCGTCCTGGTGGAGCAGCACGCTGTTTGTAGAGTCAGCGTCAGTATGAATCGTGGTCTCGACGTCTACTTACCCCTCGTTTCCGCGTCTTGTTGTCAGCGCCAGCAAAGCCACCCATGCCTTTGCTGTCGTCACCATAACCGCTACCGCTCTCATCGTAGCCATTCATTGGTCGATAGCGCGGGTCCTGCGGAGCCTCGGCCATGCTCGCCTGGTGATGGTTGAAGACGACATCTCGCATGCGCTGCAGAGACATCTGGATCCTCTCGCTTTGCTTGAGCATCTCGTCAACCTCTTCTAGCCTTGGCATCGACTGTGGCGTCATGCCGATGCGTTGGTTGTCGTGCGCCCGCTGGCGGTACATCTTGGAGAACTCGGCAATGCGTCCAGACCCATCGGCCATTTCGTTGAGCGATGCTTCAATGTCGAAGCTCTCGAGATGCCGCTTGACAGACTCGCCGTAGGGAGCCAGGCTCGAGCGTCCAATCTTCTTTTCTTCCAAACGAGCAAGTTCGGCGTTGTCTTGCCATGATTGCGGATGATACCGGGGCGGGGCAGAGTAAGTCGAAGCTGGTGGAGGATACGCAGAGTTGGGTGCGCTTGTGGAAGAAGCAGACAGGGGATAGCTGGGTGGATATTGTGGGTAAGAATGGTGCTGGCTCATGGGACCCGCGGACGGAGGAGCAGGGCCCTCGTAGGGCGCTGAGGTTGGGGGCGGATACGAAGAATACGAGATGCTTGGACGGTGGGCGGTCGGGGGTGAAGACTGGGCGGTTTTGAGCGGATGGAGCGAGGGCAGCTTGGGATTGTGCGGAGTGGTGGAATACGGCGGCCGTGGGTCGGAGAATGGCGGGCGAGGAAACGACTCTGTCGGAGCTGGTGCAGGCGGGGGCGGGCCTGCGGGTGGTGCGGACGAGGCGAGGTAGGGACTTCTTGCGTGGGATGAAGAGTTGGGGGGCCCTTGGCTGGGGTGCTGGAGCTCCGGGGGGAAGTGGCGTGGACGTGGCTCGGCGGGTGAGGGCGCTGCCGATGTCGAGTGGAAGTGCTGGGGAGCTGGCGGTATTGAAGAGGGCGGAGGCACCGAAGCAGGATATGAGAGGGGCTTCTCCGAGCCCAGCGCCTCGTGGATCGATGGCAAGGACTGGCGGGCAGCGGGCCGCTGCGAGTCCTTTTCGTCGCCCGACGTCCTGCGGGACTCGGGGGGAGACAGCAAGCCCCCAAGCGAGGCGGGTACTGCGCTGGCGACGGACGACTGGTGGTTGCTGTGTGAATGTGAGGGCCCAGAGTAGGCGTGCAACGGGCTCGGCATAGCGGGAGCCGAGAGTTTTCTCTGATAGTCAATCTCCTCGCGCTTGACTCTGTCGGCGTCCATGTGGTTGATGGAGGGCAGGCCGACACTGCAACATGTGATTAGCGGCTGCAGGGCGGGCGGGTGGGCAAAGGGGGTGACATACGGCTGTCTGCTACCAGCATCGAGCGTCTCCATGGTGTAGGGAGGAGCACGAGGCAGGCAGTGACGGGGTGTGGTCGTGGGAAGCGACGGCAAGGTGCGGCGCAGTGGCGATGGCGATGGCGATGGCGATGGCGGGGAGTGGCAGTCCCAGTGCCGCGTCGTTCATGTGCCTTCCCGCACAACGTCGACGGGCGCCCGAGGTTGGAGTCGTTGCTTCCCCCACAGGCGTAGCCAAGCAATGCAGTCGGCAAGGTCGGGAGGGCCCACGATGGAGTTTTTTCTCTCTGGTGCAATTGCCACGCTCTCGAGGCACGGCAGCAGTCTGGCTGCAATCAATGCAGTGGGCGCGGGTTTGCTTGTTTCTGGTTTCTTTTGGCGCCTCTTGTGCTCGTCGTCGTGTTTTTTGCCCAACCGTCCAGTGTGGTGGTGGAGGTGGAGAGGGTGGAGGAGCAGGCCGCGTCGAGGGCGGCGGGGATGCGGGTCCTTTGTTCAGGCGCGGATGGTGTCGGTGGTGTGGGAGTAGTGGTGGTGGTGGTGGTGGAGGTGGAGGTGAAAGGTGTGGCCTGGGTTGTGGCTGACGTAGTGTTGACAGGCACGGCGGGCAGCGAGGGGAGGGGGGAGACCCTTGGGTCACGGCAGACTTGACAGGTTATGAAGCAGGCTTGCTATGATATTGCAGAGTGTATAGGAGAGGCGGGCGGGCAGCAGTGACATGGGGTGAGGAGGTGGAGGCGGCCAAGCCGTGATCTCACAGTGAGCTACTCGCAAAGCAGAGGCAGTGGCAGCAGCGTCTTGTCGATGGTTGCAGGCATGGTGTGAGCGGAAACAAGTACTAGGACAAGCGCAGCGGGCTAAAGCAGATGCGATCGGAGATGAACCGCGCCGGCAGCGAGTCGTCTGGCAGTGTGACGCGGGTCTGCAGTGAGGGAGCAAGGATATTGGATACGGCACGTCTGTTTGCCACGGCAGAGTTGCGGGTGGAGAGGGCGATAGCTGGGTGTTCAAGCTGCAACACTCTCCAGGGCAGGGCCCCCGCCGGCCTCCCAAAGCGTCGACACGGCAGGCAAGGATAGGCGGGGGGGGTGCCAAAGCCGCCCTTGCGACGCTTGCCGGATCGGAGGGCGCTGCTGAGCCCTCTGCGTGTGTGCGCGCGCGCCCCCTCCCCCCCTACACCACAGAGAGAGAGGGCAATACCGAGCAGGTGTAGCACTAGGGCCGGGGGGGGAGGATAGCAGCAGCTGCAGCGCGGTAAAAGCAGCGAGCAGCGTGACCCAGGCGTGTGTGCGTGTGGGTGAGTGCGGGCGCGCGTGTGTGTGTGCATCGATCAGCGCGCAGGCGCCTCGCCCGCATGGCTCCCAATGGCCGTGTCTTGGCCGTGCAGCGTGCAGCGTGCAGGCACACGACGGCGGCGAGGGCGAGGGCGGTGGTGAGGGCGCGGGCTGTGGGCTGTGGGTGCGTCTGCCCGATCCACAGCCGTTGCGACCAGGGACAAGCATCGCGACGCCCATCCGCGCAAATGGCCGCCCCGCGCACACGAGGTGAGATGGCGCTACGCCCGAAGCAGCCAAGGCCGCCGCCACGGGTCAAATTATCGCCGTCGTGGCATGCAATCGAGATGCAGCCGAGCTTCCCATGATGGCTTCCCGGCACATACGCCCACGCCAATCTGTCACTCCATGGCCTTGGCCGCGACAGCCACACACGCTGTCACCCTCGCACCAGAACACTCAGGCGGTGCGCCACGCCCGCCCGACGCTGGGAACGCCTCCCTCGCGCACCGCACCCTCACCCGCTCACCCACTCACCCACTCACCCACTCGCTCACCCACACATGTGCATGCACACATGCACACATGCACACCCACATCCACGCCCGCCTCGCCGCCTGTGACTCGCCGCCGCCGTTGGGCTCCAGCTGCCGTGCCCCCCTTCTGCTCTGACTGTGTCGCGACTCATCAGCCTGTCACTCCCCAAGTCAGTCGCGCAGCCAGTCACCCACACGCCTGCACGCCACTCATTCGCTCGTCCCGCCAGGCACCCTTCGATGGCCCTCGGGAATCTCCATCAGCGCAGGGGTGCCCACACATCTGAATCGGTGGCAGCGCGATTAGTGCAGCGGGGCTGCGGCCATCAGCACCGTCCACACAGATGAAGCAGCACCTGCCGAAGAACCATCCATCATCAGCACCATCACCATTGCCATCGTCTTGCTCAGATCCCATCGGCCCGCGCTCGACGCACTTTGCTTTCGAGAGCCGCTTTGCTGCCGCCACCACCACCACCACCACCACCACCGCCGCCGCCGCCGCCGCCTGCCGCTGCCGCTGCTGCTGCTGCATTAACACATGCACTATCGCCATGCTGCCAAATCTTCTCCATGACATTGCTTCAACACGAGGCCCCGACCCTCCGCTCCCTGCTCCGCTGACATGGCGGTGCTACACTCCACCAAGTGCTCGCCCGTTGACGTCTGCACGTGTCTGCTGAATCGCTGGGGTCCATGGTCCACGGCCCCTCAGCTTGCACACAACGCCATCCTGGGCCTGCGTTCGCGTCTACCGCACACGACTGCCGTCCGTGCCATTGCCAGTGCGCACCGTCGTGCCCTGGCAAGCCCGTAAGAAAACGGCAGCCGTCCCAGAGATCTCTAGCACGTTACCGACAAGTCTCCGTTGCGATTTAGCTGCATTAGCGGAACCCATGGCCGATCTGGCCTCACCACACGTCCTCTCTCAACTTGAGCCTTATCCGGTACCGCCCTGTCCATGCTGACGATATGGCTCGCATACATAGACGCCAGTGCAACTCGGTCACGCCAGCTGTCTGCCTCAGAGTCAGTCGCGCAAGCCCCTACCAGCCCAAAGGCAATGCCCGGCTCACTCTTGCAAACTTGTCTCGTCAGGTGCCTCACATGTGCTGACGGCCATCATGGAAAGAGAAAAAAAACGTGCCACGCTCGGCCTCACTCCCCGCAGTCCGCCCGCCGTTCCAAACACACAGGGGTCTCGAGATAATATTGAGTGCGACATATCCGCACAGCTGGTCATGGCGTGCATCAACCCATCCATCACACGTCTCACGGCTTTGAGATTCTGCTACTTTTGCTCATCAAACGTTCCTCTCGGCCATGGCTATTTACAGGGTCGCTGGTTGCCCATGTCCTGGTCAGCCCGACAAGGTTAAACGCAGCATCGGTGGCTTACAACGTCGAACCCGCGCAGAACGCCCGGTTACGCAATTGTCTTCAAGCTTCTATGTATCAAGCCTGCCCCTGCCCACCATGGCTAAACTGGCCTGACTCTCTACACCCTGCAACAACCCTCTTCCCAACCCGACCAACCACCCTCCTCGTATTATTCATAATCGCGTCTGCCTGTCTAAACAGCCGGTATTTGACAAACGCTTCTAAACACAATGTTACATGAAATCAAACCCATTCATGCGCAGGCAACCCCCCACTGCTGTCAATGTAAAAAAAACCCCGTCATGACAAAGAAAAAATCAAAGCGTTTCGAAACGCATGTCAATAACAGTCGCAAAACACGCAAATGGCCCGTTCGCCGTTGCACAAGCCGGCGTCTTGCTCGCCCTGCAGGAGATGGCCCGGACAAATCAATCCGCCATTAGGTAGTCTTGGTTGGTCTGCCGCGCACGCGCTTCGTCACCCTCCCAATCAGATGCATCAATGCACCGCTCATGAGCTGATGCGCCAATACTGTCAGTCGAGAGGTTAGCTCAAACATGCTTTTGGGTGCGTCGGTATTGAATATAGGATTCGGCTGGCTAACTGAGTTAGACGGCATGATACGCCGAAATCCATCCTACCAAATTCGCTGCCCCAAATTCGCTGCCTACCAATGACAAAGGATACGGATCTCGCCGCGGACACGCTGCCCGCAAGTCACCTGCGTCGCAACAATCGGTGAATAACTGTCAACCCGGACCCTTGAAAAAGATGTGTAATGTTAAGGAGCCTTGTGGATTAACTTTTACTCGTGTTGCTTCACACCTCCACACCTGTCTGTCCCGCACTGCCGTTTCTGACAGTTACAGCTCCACAGCCGCTACGTACTTTGCGACAGCGCTCGGTACCCACGGTTTCGGGTATTGAAAAAAAAAAGTAGTCGCTCGAACCTAACACACATGAGGTATTTCTCGGTCAAAAAGTCCCAATTTGTGTCTTGCCAGTACAAAAGCATAACGTGCCTGGTCCAAAGCGACAGTGTCGACCCGCCGCAAGGGTTTTCTAAACACTATTTCTAGCGGGTCGTCGAGTCCATGCGGCCCTTCACATGTCTCGTTACTCGCGACAGATGAGGCGAATCCCTACCAAAAGCATACACATGCCGAGAATCTGTCACAGCCGAGGAAACTTGATACTAGTCGGCGAAGCAACCCTGTCGGAACAGCAGAGAAAGTGATAATAAGAACATCCCAGTAATAACATTGTCGTCTGACTCAAGATCTTCAGTAACATTCCCTCGCTTGGGCGGTCGATCTCGATCTTATGCCGGCCACACCCTTTTCATCTCACACGTATCTGATACCCAGTTTTAGTGGGCGACCCCCCAAAGGGGCTTGATGCACTGTCGCCGATTCGGTGTCTTGCCTAAGCGACATGGATGCAATAAAGGTATTGCATCGTACGACCCTTGACGCACGCCCTGGGGCTTCCGCAAAGTGTGTTTCGAGCAATACCCGCCCGTTCCAGTCTGGCATACCTGTTTCTTGTCGGTCGTTTACGCAAATCGGGTGGTGCACGCACGTCTTCCAGATGCCGTGAGCTTGCGTCGACGCAACTCTTGCACGGCAGCCCGCGGACAAGAGGCAACGTTGGACACCGCCCAAGCAGGGTCCACTGTGCATTTGCCTTGCTCACAGCCGCTTGTAGCGACATGCAGAGGGAATCTGTTGATCAAAATCTAGTGGCCTCCTTTCCTTAGCCAGCTCGGCGAGCTTGGGGGTATGAGGAAACATGGGTCGTTGCAGGACCGGAGCGGCTGATTGCTCTTTGCGTGTCCAAAGGAATCGTTAGGGTTGCCCGTTTTGGGACAACCCTACCTCACTGACAGTCATCGGCATACGTGTTCCGGTCCTCCTGGGAGAAGACCATCCAGGTCTAGCGCCGTGCAGGACGAATGCAAGAGCAGCCCTAACGCCCTTTTTCGACTGCTGTGCCAGTGTCCCGTGCTGCGCGTGCTTCGTAGCCTGAAACCCCGAGGTTATTGTACGCCATGCTATGCAAAGGTGGCAACAGAATAGACTTGCGTGGCTTAGCAGCTGAGTGAAAAACGACGCAGTCACCGCTCGAGCGTGTCGTATTTCTGCCACTAGCCATCCCACGTGCTCTTTTTGCGTCCATGGCGGCTCCTGAGGACCCCTTCCAGCTGGTGGCCCAGGAGAGCAGCATAATCAGGCATTCTTCCAGACAATGATGATTACAGATATTCTAGGGTACTTTCACTGACGCGGCATGTCCAATGTGCGCAAGCAGCCCAACGACTTGGCTGTTTGATTACACGTATGCCATCTAGACAGCGGTTGATTTGCAATACACATGACTAATGCTCACAGCGTCTTACATTTAGAGCAATTGCCGCGTCTACCAGTGAGTGACTAAGTCGGATCGGCATGCAGAGCGGAGTAGCATCTGCTTGAGCATCAACAGGTTGACGACTACTAGCACACCGGCTATCGCGAGATTGGCGAATGGACTATGTACACCTACAGATTTGCCAAGAAGCAGCAGGGCCTAGCATGCGAAACGCATTGCATGCAAGCCATGATCGCGCATCTGAGATGGTCTCGTGGCTCGCGTTACGGGATCCATGACGACATTGATCTTGTCGACAACATCCACGCGCCCGAGTTTATGCATTGGCATGGAACGCATGCCTACACACGTCTCAAGGCCGGCTTGCAACCATGAGCACAAGGGATTCTCATGAAGCTTCGTATCTTCCCCGTATGCATGCGGCTCCGTGCATTGCCCATTGTCCTTGCTTTCTTTTTCTTTTCTCGCTTGTCGCTGCGAATGCGAATCCGGCAAAATAGCCTCTGGATCGTCCCGCTTCGGTCGCCGGCGGAATGTACCCCACACGATACTCGCCCCTCCCAAGGAAAACTCCCCCCATGGTGGCCATTCACACGTGGTCCTGTCGAAATCTAGCGAGGCCATTCGAATCACCAAGATGCAACGGGTGGGTAATTGAGTAGGGAGACTGTGGCTCTGTTGATTCATCCTGATAGGCGCCACTACAGCTGCTATGAAACGGCTCTCGGCACGTTACGTTACGACATGGCTAGTTTTTCGCGCGGTCCGTTGGCAAGTAAGCGCCGTGTTAAAGCGGCGTCTTTCCAGAGGGTGTTCCCGAATACACCTCTGCCAAGAAAAGACGCAAACACCATAGCACCATGTCGTTTTGGTATAGACTAAAAAGGGGGGAAGTGGGGGGGCTGCCCGTCCAAGCAACGCGATGCGACTTGCACTCGAGCACGAAGCCAAAAAGGATGCTGGTGAAGGGAGTTTCTTTTCGCAGTCACAGCCACTTTGTCAAGCGAACGATATTAGTGTCTCGCAAGGCGACACCGTCGGACCTCATCCCAGGACTATTTGAATCACGGGGCCCGTGCAGCTAGGCTAGAATGGCCTCGGGCGATCTGCAAGACACGATTGCTTTTGGAGGTAAATCGCCTATCGAGCAGCTTCTCGAACGCCACGTCGTATGAGGCCCCAGTGACTATCAGGGTACAGCGGGTTGCCCTGCAGTAGAGAGCTTGTTAGTTCCTGTAAGCAGCAAGTGATGGTCACTGGGGACGTGAGCCCTACGGCGGCTGGTGGAGACGCGGCGATCTTGCACCTGCGGACTGCATGATGAAGCGCTGTAATCAGCTGGGTCTGATGCTCCGTTGCTCTCTAAACTGGTCTTTTCTGCAGGAGCGGACTATCGCGCGCGCCCCGACAAGGCCAAAGGTGGTTGCACGCCCCTCGTTGAGACGGGTAAAGCCTTCCCGCCCGAGTCGATCGTCGAAGATCTTGGTCAGTGAGGATACGAGGCTGCTGCATGTCGTCGGCCACTCTCGGTAACGCGAGGATCACGAGCAGCAAAAGGTGTGGACGGCAGGTTGTACCGAGTTGCACTTTGCGCCTCAAACCATGTTGGTACACTAAGTCTTCTGACATGTGTTCGAGCCACTGAGCGCACACCGATGGCCGCAACCACGGACTATGGAAAGTCTGGTTCTACCGCCTGGCGGACTGCATCGGGGACCCCTGAGGGCTGTGTGAAGCTTTGCATGGGCGCGCGGGTTTGCAAATTTCACGACCAGACGGGCCTAGCCTGGCGACTAAGACGAGACAACATACGACATTTCCATCAGCGCAGACCGGACATCCCTCGGCAAGCGCAGCTACACTAGTACGTATGTGCTTTTCCTGGAAAACTGCCCACTTGCTTAGGGAGCCGCGCGCGCAAAAAAAGAAAAAAAAGAAAACAGGTCGTGTCTTTGGGGTTGTTGCGCGATGATGACCGTGCGGGTCGTGACTCAGTGTGCATGGCCAGACTCTGCATCACGAGCCATACGAATATACTAGGGAAAAAAGGGGAAGAAAAAAAAGATGAAGACTGCTTTGCTACCATGGCTGGAGGGAACGTCACGGTATGTTGTGGGCATAGATACCCAAATGCCGCCACGTCGATCAAGTGTGGAGGCATAGCCAGATGGTCGGGACAAGAGATTACGACGCGCCCAAAAGTCATGACGGTTTTGTCCGTGTACGGTGAGCACCGGAGGTTTTAAGCTCACGTCAGTTTTTCTTCGTGTCCCCGTCTGACGGATGAGCCGTCGCGCATCTCCGTCAGCATGGCTTTGTCGGACCAACGGAAGCCAGGGAAGAAGCAGAAGCAGAAGCAGAAGCAGAAGCAGAAGCAGAAGCAGAAGAGGAAGAAGAAGAAAAAACAAGATGCAGCCCCGACCCAAAATGAACACAACGGGAGAGGGAGGGGGGAGGGGAAAGCGAACATGGGCGATGAATGGGGTCTCTTCGGCGCCATGTGTCGCAAGGTGGGTTAAAGCTGAAAGCAGTTTAAGTTAGGCGGGCGCGAAAAAAAAAAGTTATCTTGTTCAGGGGGCCCACAGCTCAGAAAAGAACTCGATTGGGACCAGGCGCATGGGCGGTAGGTCGGTAGGTAGGTAGGTAGGTGGCCACGCCTCGTCGTCCAGGGATTGCAGTCCGGGCGTCTTGATTCGCGCATGGGCAGGGTCATGGTCGGTCAGCCCCAAAGGTGCATGGCAAAGTGAGGGATCCTGGTATGTATATGTATGTCAGATGGAAGTGGAGTACATGTACATGAGAGTGGGGGGGGGGGGGGGGGGGGGTTTT